CGAGCACGCGCTGCTGCAAGACGCAGAGCCCGGAATGCTGAATGATCGACTGAGGGTGGCGCTGCGCGAAGAAGTCGGGCGCGTGGAAAGCAGAGGAGAGGACCTCACAGCCGATCTCCAGTTCGCGTGACGAGGTCTTCCCGTCCATGCTAGTGTAAAATTTACCCTCAGGGGACGCATCCTCAACCTCGATGGCGACGTATTGCGCCATAACAGTCTTTCCAACCATACCCTGTGGGGAGGAAATCTTCTCGGGGCGGTGCTCAAGCTCAAACAGCTCTTTACGATAGATAACAGTGGCGAGCTCCGTCAACCGCGCACGATACACCTTATCCACGAGGATACGCTTCCACCATGGTAGAAATGTGGTGGGGGGTTCTGAGCAGTTTTCCCTTTGTAATTCAGAATTATCCCCACGCGAAGTCACAAACGATGAGGCCGTTGCCGGCTGCGGGAGATGCTGTTGAATCAAGGTCGTCGCATCGCATAGCGGATTTTGCTCCCGCTCAGCTTGTAAAACGTCAAGGCTATTTGAAGCACGCGGACAGGAAAAATGAGTTGCTAAACTTTTCTTTTTTGTGTTTCGTCTTACTCGCACTATTTGCTTACTTTTCTGGTTAGAAAAAATCATTTTCACTCGTCTGGATTCACTCTCCCTCTCATAAATAGATCAAAGACAGAAGCAGATGAAGTATACAAAAAAACATCAAATGCAAAGCGAGTCTTATGTGAATAGAAGAATGCGTTTTCTGGGTCGAATAAATATTTGTATATTTACCTTCCTCTATCGAAATACTGTATCGGTTACATGGACCTTGTTTGCCAGTTGTTTTGCCTCTTAGGGTTACTAACAGTGGTAAGCCGACGAGAAGAGACCAACCCCAAGCGGTTCAAATGCAAATAAGTAAATGCTGATAAGTTAAATGCCTCCACCAATCGTCAGGAAAGGCCCTCTCTCGTCCCATCCACTCCACCCCACACACACATACACGTTTTATTTTTACCGATATTACTCTGGTTCACATCATCATTGCAACGAGCCCTTCGAAAGGCAAACTACAGAATCGCCTTGTCTACCTTGGTAAGCGATTATTGACACAAAAAGAAATACCCCTCATCCACAAATATTGAAAAGGGGAAGCTAGCGGATACCCAAGTAGCGCAAAATGGGAAAAAACACCTTGACTTCACCAAGATGAAAGTTTCTTTACACTCAATTTCTTTTAAGAGAAAAGGGAAATTTTTTTTTGAAAAAACTCATCGTCTCAGTCTCATCACTGAAAAAAAGGACTGTATTTCCCTATAACCCTTGCTTTCCCTCGCCCCTTAAAAACAAATATGGCAAGTCGATACAGAAGAAGGTAGATAGTTAAAAAAAGACCTTTGTTGAGTGGATTCAAAATATAAAAACGATTATAATTATATAAGAAATCGATTGCTTCATTAGAAATAAACTATACATCTAAGCTAATTGATGATAATTCATCTCCCACCAAGGGCACAACCACATTGAAATGATGGTAATCCAAGTGAACTTCAGCACTCTCGTTGTGCACATGTGTTAGATTGCCTGAAAATTTATAGTTCCTGAGAATATCAGTGAAAGTGTAGGCATGTTTGGCCATAATAGTAGCACCACTTTCCATCTCGATAGCATCAAATACCGCTACGATCTGGAAGCATTCTGGCACATCCATCCACGCGACGGAGCAAGTATGCGAGGAATATTCGTCCACATCGGTAGAACTAACGAGCGAAGAACTATTAAGAGGGACGTTCATAAAGCGGTATAGCGGACTACGCTCATCAATCACATGGCAAATGGTGCCTGGATACCAAAGAGATAGCTGTCTACCACCCTTATCGAGAAATTTCTCCTCAGGGCACGTCCATCGTAACTCTACAACGTTAAGCTTCACCTGCTTAATGGGCCTAGAATTTTTGGTCGCACTTTTAGAACCTACTTGCGAGTGCTCTTGTTGATCTGTCAAGAGGGTTTGGCCAAGAAGAGGATCCTCTTCATTAGGCGTGGTCTCCATTGTCGCACTAGTTTGCTTTGGATGCTCGGTTCTTTCAACATTACCGACCTCCTGTGCGTCTGAAAGGGCAGACCGATTCGACGAGCGGGCGGGACGTGCGATCTCACGATTCGCCTTCTTGTTGGTTCCCCCGTACCCGAGGAATCCCCCTTCGGTTTCGCGACGCGAATCGCTATGAATTCTAACCGCAACATAAGGCTTTGAATCCTGTTCCGAGTTCGAATTGATATCATCGTCGGAGTTTTGACCCTCCTTAGGCTGTGAAGAGGGGGAGGGGGGAGATTGGTCGGCCTTTTTCCCTGTAATAGTATTTGCAGCCTCGGCGGGGCCTTGCTTTTGATCCTTTCTCCCTCTCCTGCGTATGCGCGACCCGGAGTGCGATTTCTCCTGCACTTTCGAGTCTCGTGCAGAATCTTTTATGAGTTCTGAAGACCTTGAAAGGCTTGTTTCACTCACAGACGAAAATGTGCAACTAGGAAGATCCCCTTGGTTTTCTTTTGATGTATCTCCCGATATTGCTCGAGGGGGAGCCATTTCTCGACGTGAGACGCGGTGCCCTTGGAACTTGAACGATCCTTTCTTGAGCGTTGAATCCATCAACGCCCGGTCCTCGGTGGGAGGTTCTGCCAGAATGCAAAAAAGACGCAATTGGCCCTGCGCAAGAGGTTTTTGGCTCGCTATGTTTGCCATGCGAAACTTAAGATGCCACACATTCCGCTGCCTTGGTGCTCTGGCTAGCGTGCAGAAGTGGCTAAAGACAATTCGGTTGGCGAACTTCGCGGTAGATTCAGCCTTCCCTACGAACAAAGCCGCCACCAACCCGACGAATACTATGTTGGTGAATGAAGCCAACATTACGATCACGGTACGTCCATAGTAGCACACGTTACTTGGGTTTCCCATGCTCGCCGCTTCACCCATGTAACCCCCATTTGCGGCGAGGCTAACCACGGTGAAATAGAGCGAAGTAATGGCGCTGGTGGATTCCTTCACGCCACACGCCCACGCCCAGCTGTAATACAACGTCGTAATCCACGCAACTAGTGCAAGATATAAAGCGATGCTAATAACCATCAACCACGACCATGGATAGGAACGTAGCAAGTAAAAGAGAGTCTGCTGTTTGAGGAAAAATGTGTGTGTGCCGGTTTGCTTTGTCGTCATGTTGCCCTCCGCGTCGAAGGCACGGACCTTCGTTTTGGAGAGTGTGGAGGTGGTGTTCGGCATCAGCGGCTCCAACAGCCTCTGTCTGCGATGCAGCGGAAGGACGCTCAACCGTTTCTGGGTTACAGACAACGCTTTGCCCTTGGGCATTTTGGAAGAAACGAAGGATCCTTGGTGTTCTCAGGAAATAAGCAATAAAAATCGATTCCTGTATAGAAACCAGAGATCACTCCCAAAATACTTAATCCGATACCTTATCTATGCTCGATATCGTTTTACTTCAGAATATGTGCACGAGCTTTCAAATAAATAGTGCTTTGAGAACAAAAAAATAGACTGACACGGAAAAGATGTTTAGGATTCACATCATGGAATGCTTTCGCATAAATAAGTCGCATGTTTTTGGTTGCGAGAAGTGTCGTGTTGTACACAGCGTTACTTTTCTTTCATTTTTATGAGTGGCTACATGGAAACCGAGTATAAAGCGCCGGCTTTATTAATTTACACCTGAGGAAAACAGGCTGTAATGGCAATAACTTTATAGTATGGAAACCTATACTACTGCTCTTTGCTATAAGGCATCTTGATATAGTCGGCTCTTCTTTGTGCGAATTTCGCACAGGGCATTTTAAACCGATAGAAACATAAATAACCGATTATTCAAGATAGAAAAGCAATATAATAGTCTGTGCGATGAGTGTATTTTATGTTATTAAACGCCCTTTAAAGCACTCAAGTTGAATGGAAATGGAGAATAACGATAGAATAAAACTAAGCAAAGCTTCTAGCCTTTTAAAACGAAAGACAGACGAGGCAACGGAATGTCGAGGTGGAGGGGAGAGAAGGGGAGATCGGGTCGTGATGGAAAGCGGGGAGGTGGGAAGAAATATCTGCGCCACGCATGGAGCGACCATCAAGAACTATCGCCCTTTATCGCATTACCTCATACATCGGTCCACCTTAAGAACAGCATCCCAGATAAATTGAATAGAACTTCGCACACAAAAAAAGACCTCCCAAGAAGGAGAAGGGGGCACGACCAAATAAAAAAAAAAGAGACAAAACCCAAAAGAAGCATCCGATCAAAAAAAAAGAACCACTATTATACAGGTAAGCGCATGCATATTCAACACACCTAAAGCTCTCCAACTTAAAATGGGTAAAGGAAAGTGCATGCATCCATCTTTGAAAACCCGTGCCAACCCCCTCTATCGTTCCCCCCCTTCTCTAATCCTCCCTCCCCCCCCCCCCTCCCCTCCTCACCCCTTCCCTCCCCTATCAACCGTCCCCATCCTCATCCTTTGCTTTTAACGCCTCCACGCGCAAATTCGCGTCCTCGTAGACGTACTCCCCGTTGCAGGTGTCGGCGGACTTCACGATAAGCCGTATCTTATTATCCGCGACGAGAACGACGCCCGCGCCGTTTTGGTGCCCGACGTACGCGCTTGTGCTGAAGATCGTGAAGACACGCGCGCTCTTGCTGAGCTTGAGCCCATCGCTCTTCTCCTGGTGCGCGCGGAAGATGAGCTCGAAGTTGAAGTGGTCGAGAAAGTCGTCGACGGCTTGGCTGCCGAAGAGGAGGACCCCCGCACCGCGCGGACTCGCGCCGAAGCCCCACTTGTCGAGCCCGCCCTCCTCCTCGGCCGGATCCGCCCAGCAGGTGTCCATCCCGGCCTGCCGGCACTGCCGCCGCCACGGCGACTCCCCGGCAGGGACGTCGAAGAATGACAGAATCGGGGGAAAATCCGCTGACTGGAGGACCGCCAGCCGCGTATCCTCCCCCCCGCCATACCGCGGAATGCCCCCGTGGGTGCAGAAGATCCGCCCGTCCAGGGTCGCGGTGAGGGGAAGTCGCGCGAAAGCCTCACTCGCGCACCCCCACAGCTCCTCCCCCAAGGCGTTGCCTAAGAGGGAATGGCATTGCGCGCGGAAGCTCGTCCGGCCATAGCCGCCGACGTCGCCGCTGACGAGGGTGTCCTCGTGGTTGCCGCGGAGGAGTAGCACCTTTCGCGGCGCCAGCGCCTTCATCGCGAAGACGTACGCGAGCACCTCGACGCTAAACTCCCCTCGATCCACGTAGTCACCGAGGAAGATGAAGTTGTGCGGGGTGTAGCGGAGGTCCTGGAAGGAGATGAGGTTGTCCATGAAGTAGAAAAGGTCGCGGAAGTTCCCGTGGAGGTCGCCGAAGACGTAGCAAGGGGAGGTCATCGACCCGTGGCGGGGCTCCGCCTCGAGAAGGCGCTGCACCTCCTTGCAGAGACTAATCATCGCGCGCCCGAAGCTCTCCACGTCATCGGGCGCGTGCTGGCAGCCATTCCGCACCGCAAAGTTCTGCACGAGGTAGTGATAGACGGCGCTGGCGCGGACCGAGACCGGG